CACGCTCTGCCAGTTTCGAGAATGAGAGCATACTACCTCTTGCTGATGTAATGTGATGAACTTCCTTGACGGTAGTTTTTTGCTTATTCGTGTTCACGAGTAGTATGATTGTCACGTCATCTACAAACGTAGCAAAAGAACAAGCTTGTTCGCATCGGTAAAATCCAGGCACATGACCGCCCACTTCTTGTGGTCGTCCGTGATGCAGTGGCTTGCTCAAGATTTGAGCGGCCACATAGTATCTTGGCTTGCTAGTACTTAATTAACGTGAGCTGTTCAGCATGACGCATCAGGAATAGTATCATCACGTTGAACTGCCGTGCTGGAAACGTTGAGTTTTCCTTCCAATTCCTGAAAATAAGATGAATGTGTCTTGCTGGCGACGTCTGTTTGAACAAAACTTGTTTACGCGGACAGCCTTTAAGCATAGGTGACAACTGCGTTCTTCGCCCACGCTATTATTAGGTGGTTTTTTCATGGTGTCATATCCTAGTGGATTCGTTCCTGTTTTCCTCTCATTCTTCGCAACCTTACTGCTGCCTGATACATTCTGACCCTTGTCATTTAAGTCGCCATCACTTTTTATGTGATACTCAAACGATTTTTTCAGTTCAGATTGTGAATTTGTGGCAATAAGGGTGACCAAACTAAGAAAAATTGACTTCTATTAAGTACATGCGTTCAATTCGAACAGTTTTCAACACCGTACGATCATTCGCATTCAGAATTCTCCTCAGTTCCAGTAGGTAATCTGCTTAACCGAGCCACATGATGTGATTTTCCCTTGTCTTACGCAAGCTTTTGACGAGTTCGAGGCCACTCAGGTGTTTTCCGTACTATATAAGGTACACATGCTTAAACTATTGTAGGAGGAAAACTTTGATTTATTTGATCTCCAAAATCTTTAGTTGTCCTGGAACAACTTGGACGGCCCGTTGGCCATGGAATTTACCATCAACACCGTCTTCAGGATGTCTGTCCAGTTGCTGGCGTAGATAGCGACATTGGTTGCAATTGTGTGGTTCCAACGTCGCCCGCAGTTTTCAAAGATCGAGTTCGAGGTCCTTGCAAGGGTAGCGTTACTTGGTGCTGAATTGCTTATACACGAAAGCGTTGGCGATTGGTGGCCGAGGCGACATTTGAGATGCAGGCGTAATAGAGCATGGAGTACCTGGTAACGCCGTAGGCATGGTCACACTCGAGCAATGGCGATGTTAATTTCAACTCTTCTCCACCATCTTCACCTGATGTGGAATCTACAGATGCATCGTAACCATTTGAACAGTCAGTCCGTCGATCTGAGGCTGGAGTAGCACGATGTTGGGACCTTGACCGGAACCAACAGGACTCTCTTGATCGTACATCTCCCGAAGCTCCGCCTGTACTCTAGCAATTGGCTGTGCTAATGACTGCAGCGTCGACGCCCGCTTTTATAGTGAGTGAGATGGTGAGGTAATTTAGGTACACGAACGACCTGCTATATACTTTTATCCGACAACAAAGTTACCTGGTCGAACGCTACTTTACATACTAGGTAGCACTAGTCCTCGGACAGCCAGCGCTCTTACGCGCAGACCCCTTTCTTGAGATAATCAGGTTCCTCGAGGTTATCACGGGGCCCTCAATTACGAGTTGACGTTCGGCTTGGGAGGTCTCCACTTAATGATTGACATGAGTGTTAAGGAAGGTCGAAGCCTCCTGCACCAGACCTGGGTTAAAGATAGCGTGCGTCTTAATAAAATTTTCCGTGTCCATAGCAATATTTGCCAGTCGATCCGCCATTTTGTCGAAGGTGCGATAATGATATCCCCAGCTGGCGACATCATTATCGTCAGCGATGGCATGTGCTTCGTGTAAATACAGCATCAAGTGCGCCTTGGTGGAGGGTGTCGTCTTCGGAGTTGCGAAAAAAGCACGAGCGAATTGTCCCCAATAACGTGTATGGGTGAGTAGTCGTCTGTATTTGCTCGTAGAAGACCGTGCATGAGCCCCCAGTATTCAGCGACATTGTTAGTGGTATCGGCAGCGCCATTAGCCATACTTAATACCCACAAAACGCATGCGGCGTGAGTCGGAACGTGTAGTCGGACAATCACAGATCCGGCTCCTCCTGGACCTGGCTTTCCACGGAGTCCGCTGTCAAAGAAGAGGAGGTAAAGGACGCCCGGGCACCAGTTGATAGACCGGAATAGAACGAAGGAGGTTCATCGTTACAGTGTAGAGTAGTAGCTTAGGCCGATCTTACCTGCGCGAACAGTTGCCCATCTTCCCCTATCTTGAGCTGATAGGTTGATCCCCGAAACCGTCGAACCCACCGACGAAGGACTGTCTTGGGGCTGGCTGTGTGCACCTCCTGTGATAATAACGATTTTTCCATGCGCCCGCCTGATACACCACCTCGTCGGATTCTCTGCTGCTGTCATATGCGCTTGCGCCAAAGATTGACTTTAGGTTCGTCGGTACAAAAAAACATCGGACATGGTGATTAACGTTGCAGCACTGTATCGGAGCTACCCTCACTTCATTGTCAGTGGAAGACTTACAGACTCGTGGAGTCTCTTTGGATATCAGACTAAACAAGTATATAGTTAAAGGGTCTCAAGTCTTGCAGTCTTTGTGAGACCTAACTCTAAGTATCTGAATAAGCTTGAAGCTTCTATTTTCGGTTCGAGGGACGAATGACTCCAAGAAATCGCGTGGCAATAATGCCCAAGAGTACCAGCCTCAATACGGGCTCTTAGCTATTATAGTAGGCACTTCTTTAAACTAACCAAAAGGGGAACTGAATGTACTAATGAAATGAATGCGCAAATAAACCTCACTTTACGTATTTAACCTGAAAAATTTGCTACATGACTAAATGGTTCTCATATTGGTTCTTCTGATGTACCACACCAGAGCTATGCCATCCTTGTATAGACCGTATTACGACGAACGATTGTACATAGTGCAAGGAGTGTAAACTTTTAAGTGGTAAACTTGGCTCTATGATAACTTAGTAGTTTGAGAGATTAGTAACTTGCCACTACTCTCCGCATATTACTTCCTTTTCTCGGTTTACACATGTGCGGACATCTGTCTTTCCTTCGCCATCCAAGGTCTTGGTGTGCCTTCGATCTCACTCCACCTCTGTGATGTAGATTCCTGTAGTAATCGAAAATCCTGCCCGGGTGTGTTAACTTCAGCACGATCAATCGTGGTTGAAATGCGGTAGCACCTCATGGTGCTGCGATAATCATAGATGCTAGGGCAACCGTCCAGCAACAAATCTCAGCTAACTATCGTTGTCGTAGATCGCTTTGCCTTAGATAAGTGCGTCATAAAGCCAGGCAAGCTCCTTATACAACTGCGTCATAAAGGCCAGGCAAGAACCTTTGACTTACTTCACGCATCTTACAAATTTGAGGGTTATAGATGGTTTAACTGTTGAGTTGAAGGCAAATGCCGAAATAGTTTATTGATTGAGATCCTTAGTTTTCATGCTAACCATGTTACATCTAAGTCCTATATCTACGATGTATTTCGATCGTACAAGAAACATTGTCGTCCCAACGTCCTTATCACTACACTACCTGGTAATCTTCTGGTAATCACTTTACCAGATGACGGCTGTACCTCATGTATGCTTACCTTATGTTATTACGAAAGTGAGTGACACCCGATTACCAATATCCAACAAACGTGCATCCATAAAATACATTTATACGGCGTCCCTTGTCAACATTGACGACCCTGAGCGTTGAACAAGAATTCCTTTGTACTTAAACTGTGGACGTTTGGTGTGGCCGCATATTTTTTTACCGGGTGCCAAAAACTGTTTGTTGTATGTGAGCCATAGCTGTAATGCAAAAGTAGGAACGTTACCACATTAAAAATATGTAATACAGATAGCTTAAAGTTAGAAGGACGAAGTTTTAAGGACCAACACAGTTTTATAACCGCATTTCACTGGACAAAAAAGCACATACAAATTTTAAGTGCATTTTTTCTATCGCAAAGCTATTGGACAAAAGAACGTAGTGACGCCTGCCACCCGTCCCATTCTCCCCACGCAAGTACAATTCGCAATTTCCGAACACCTCCGCAGACAAACAAGACGTACGAATGGTGCCCCGAACGCCTTTTGCTTCGTCCGGAAGAGAGTTCTACAGACACACCAGCGAGAGAACCCTGGACTCACGCAAGCCGATCTTTGTCGATGGGCCTGGGGAGAGTTTGGAGTCCGTGTTGCACGATCCACGATTAGCAGGATCCTGAGCAAAGACGTTCCTGTCACCCTCAATCCGAGAGCCAAACGGCAGCAGAAGGGCAGAGATGCCGAGGTGGAGAAAGCGCTGTTCCATGTCGTGCTCGACACTCAAAGTAAAGTCACGTTGACCGACTTCCTTCTCCACCAGAAGGCCAATCAACTGCTCGAGGACGCAGGTGTAACGACGACGCTCTCGCTTTCGTGGGTGTCGAGGTGCAAAGCCCGACACGGCATCAAGTCTCACCGACTGCATGGAGAGGCGGCCTCAGTCGAGCGAGAGACCCTTCACCAGCGGCTCCAGGAACTCCGGACCCTTCTCGACGGATACGCGGCGTGCTATGTTTTCTATATGGATAAAACCGGTATATTCTATCTCATAATCCTTCGCGGGCTCTGGCAACGATGCCTTTAAGTGGCAAGAAGAAAGATAAGTCGCGCATTTCAATTAGGCTAGGCTCCAATCTGGGTGGGACTTAGAAACTGGACCCTATCGTAATTAATTAGTCCCCCAACCCCCGTTTCTTTAAAGCCGTAGACGTTTTCAAGCTATCCGTTCACTTCCATGCAAAAAAACGCGAAGGCATGGATGACTGGCGGCATCTTTGCACATTGGTTGGAAGCGTTCAATCTCAAAATGAGTGGGCGAAACGTTCTTCTGCTGCTCGACAATTCGACCTCACATGTCAATTTGGAGCTCTTAAACGTACACATTCACTTCCTTCGGCCAAATATCACCTCCCATTCGCAGCCGATGGACGCGGGCATCACTCGCAACTTCAAGCTCAAGTACAAGGCCCAATTCGTGCAGTGGCTACTGGACATGGTGACGGCAGGGACGGAGTACAAGAAGTTCGACATTCTTAGCACAATCCGTTTGGTGGTAAAAATTGGGCTGAGGTGCGCCCTGAAACGATTCGACACTGCTGTATCCACACACGAATCGTGTCGGGAGTTATGGCGGCAGTGCTCCGTAAGCAAGACGAGTCGGTCCGTCCCAATGATCTCTCAATCCTAACTAATTTAGTCGACAAACTATCCTTATCTGATGGAATGGATGCAGACGACTATCTGGAGTGTGACAACAACATGGAAGAATGGGAACCAGACTTCGATGCAACTGCCACCTCTGAGCCGTTTTCGCGTGATGGCGACAGAGACGGAGACGAAAATCCCATCTTCACTCATCGCAACGCGCTGAATGCTGCAATGCAATTGTCTACGCACCTATTCGCACACAAGATCGATATCGCACACAAGATTGATACTGTGGAAAAGCAACTGCTGACCGAGAAATGCCGCCAACAGCTTCAACAGAGCATACACCAGCAACAAATCACCGATTATTTCTTGAAAGAGTAAGCTCGGTGGCCCATACTGAAACTATCAGCATTTACTTAATAGCACGCAAAAGTAGAGCTGATATTTAATTTGTTTAATCACTTAGATTGCTACATTTTTCTTTATATTTTACTTTCTAGAAACTTATTCCAATTATCCAATTCCTGTAGAATATTCCTAAAGATTTTATTTAATCATATTCCAACAGAAACGAAGTGGTGTCCTTTAAGTTGATTTCGATCTTAAGGACACAGCGAAATTTTTGGACAAATCGCGCTCTCTAACTGTGAGTTATCTGTAATGCTTTGCACATCATCAACTCAGAAAGCAGCGCCCAACTCTTAGTAATTGTAGAGTTAGAAGTAAAAGTACTGGTGGTCTCACTCATATCGATGGCCCGGACTGTATGAACATGCGTAAGTGTACGCTACAAAATGCAGGTACGAGCGCGCGCCGTGCGCGAATCTGATTGAGGTGCCTATAACTACTATTGAAAGAGAACAAACGCATGTTCGATATATAGTGCATATTTATTCGCAGTTTAAAGCTTAGTGAGCTAGAGCGTTAGTGCTTGCCTTCGCCTCCATGCATCCTCAAAACGCCGGTTTCACTCTTCCGTTGTGCTCGGCACGGGATGGGACACCGTCGTACACATCCTCGGTGCCGAAGTAGGTAGACACGAGTTCAGGAGCCACCTTCATGTTGAACGCAGGCATTTCACCCACGCAAGACTTGTCGACGCGTTTGAGGTTAGCGTTGTTGCGAACGAACGAAAGTAGCAACTCCATGCCGCAGTTCTTGCCATCGTCTCCAAACGGGGTCGTTTCGATTGTTACCCTCGGCGCGTAGTCAAAGGCAATGAGTTCCTTGTTCGAAGTGTCGAGCGCCTTGAAAAATGATTCCCCATGCTTGTAAGGGTTCTTTGGGTCCAACCTTCCATGTAACTGTACCACGCTGGCATGGCTGGAAACGGTAGCAGTCTTGCCCCAAAACTTGTCACGCCGGTATGTCAGGGGGTTCGCCTCGTACTTGTCAAATCCCATTTCATCACACGCCGGCGACCGTTCTTTCGAGTACAGACAATAATACGGAACGTACAGGAAAGCCGTGTCGTCCGTCATGCTCAGGGTTTTCGCTCGAGTGAATAGATCGTCGTACGTAGGTGAAGGTGTCGCCCACATCTCGGAAAACATTTCCACAAAACCGTACAAACCTGAAACGTAGGCTTCGGCCTTGTTCGGTAATGAGGCCTGTTCGTTGGCTGTAACGGGGTGAATCGTTACATAACAATTTATAAGAAATTGTTAATAGAATATAACTATAAGAGTTATATTCTCAGAATATTGTCATAAGGACAAATATTCTGTAGCACTTCCAAGTAGTTCCTAATTGGTTGATATAGGCCATTATATCAACCAACTAAGACGCGCCACGACAGACGCACGCAATGAGTGGTGAGCAGATAACTGATTTACACATTTGTATTTAGACATAGTTAGATGAAGATAAATAGTGATTTATTGCAGACATTAACTATGATAGATACAGTTCTACTTTTTACGTTAACCAAGTACTCGCTTCTCCTTACCGTCTTCCTCTGCACGTACCAGTGTACGTGAAGTTACGCGGCACCGCCTCATTCTATCATCAGAATAAGTAGCTTGTACTGTCATCAGTACAAGCTGGAGGGTGCCCCGTTACACCTGATAGCACTTTGTAGTCCGTCCAAGGACCACGTTCACATCTAACATGTATTTGTTCGATGATGATGATAATGATTTAAGCTTTCACGCTACGCGTGAAGGCTACTACCATTTGAGCGATGTCGATTGGGATGCGGTTGAACAAATGGGTTCGACCATGGGCATCCATGCTGTTAGCGTCATGCTAGAGGCTCTCAATAGAGATGCCCAACATGCTACTATCGCCAAGTTCATTCAAAATGAACTTGACGCTGAACGCGAGAAAGTAGCCTTGCTTCACCAACAAGGTTCTCAACAAGCAGAGTTGTTGAGAGAACAAGGTGCTCAACAGTTTGAACTGTTGAGACAGCAGCAAGCTGCTGCTGGCGGGTCGATGCACTCGCGTCGGCCCGAGACTTTGAAGATTGACATCTCAAAGTATAGGGGGGTCGAAGAAGACTCCCTCTTGAGATGGTTCGTCGAATTGGATGACGCCATAAGGGCGCGTCGCATCGACGACGGGGATATGCAAGTTGCATTTGCCCAGTCAAATCTGGCAGGACGTGCCAAGACTTGGGCACTGGGGCTCAAGCTGCACGACCCATATGCGTTTGGGTCGTTGAAAGTCTTCAAGTCGCGGCTCAGACAAACGTTTGAACCGCCTAGAGCTGAGTTCAGAGCTCGAACCGAACTCTTGAAGCTCAAGCAGGGTAAGCGTGATGTGCACGCTTACGCTCAACATATACGACATCTCACGAGTTGTATAAGTTCCAATCCGGTGGATGAACACACGTTGGTTTCGGTGTTCATGCAGGGTCTTGCGGATGGTCCCGTCAAGACTCACCTGTTCCGGCTTGAACTAGATTCACTAGAACAAGCCATTTCCATTGCGGAGCAGGAAGACTTCAGTCTGAGACAGGCTCGCGCCAGCTCGACATCATATCGTCAACCGAGACGATATGACAACGGAGGTCCAGAGCCGATGGAACTCTGTTATGTAGAGAGCGAGAAGGCTCGCTCTACAGGCTACAAGAAGTTGCAGAGATGCAACAGATGTCAAAAGACAGGACACTACGCTTACGAGTGTAGTGCCCCTCGTCCAGTGTCTCGCGACACTGGGCGTAGTGACCGTCCACCCATGAGAAAGGGGCAGGGACGAGGGTCCGCAGTTGGTGCAAAGACGCAACAACGGGATGGACCGTCAAAAAACGGACAGGATCAGTAGGTGCGGAGCACCCTACTGATCCAGCAACGTCAAGAGAATTTGTAGGCCTCTTGATGAAGGTTGCTCCCAACACACAGACATTGTGCGTTGCTGCTCTAGGTAATGAGATCTCACTCATTACCTTGAAACTCGAAGTGACGAATAAGTTGTCCCTTCGAGCTCTAGTCGATTGTGGGGCGTCCAACAATTTTGTGCGACGCCAATCGCTAGAAGATGGTCACTTTAAATTCAGTGAATGTGACACACCTCCTACGAGGATGACGGTACGTCTTGCGACAGGCGCATCCGTAACCGTCATGAAGCGTATAGTGAAGATTCACTATACGCTAGAAGATACCCAATACGACGATGACTTTATCGTATTGGATTTGGATGACAAATTTGATGTCATCCTTGGAATACCGTGGCTCAGAAGGTACGAACCACGGGTAAACTGGCAACATCGGACAGTAACGATGCCTGCCGCTTGTTCATCAGATGGCCATCTGATGAACGTTTTGGAGAGTCCACAAGCGTGTGGATGTACTACGAGTGAGTGCGATGGCCTCACTTGTGGTACGGTCGTTAGTACGACTGCACAAAACCTTAGTGTACCAAACGGTTACACTTCGGAGCAAAGTTCCGGCGGCTGTGAGGAAACACAGGCTGCGCCGAAGGTCCACCACTCGAATAAGTCGGGTGGACTGGGACAAAGATGTATCCCTAGAGGGGAACATCTAGAAGAGAAACAATCGATCGCTCAGGTTAAGCGAAACGATAATCCTAGATCGACTGGAGAGTCTTTCGTAGAGGATCTCGCTGTGGTTGCGCAACCCCAGCTAGAGGAAGTAAAGGGAATAAGTCCCAAGATTACAAATACGGCGGAAATAAGTTCCCCGAAACCCGCGGGAATAAGTCCCCGGGAAGACGAAGGAATAAGTCCTTCGAAGCCTGAGGGAATAAGTCCCCAGGAAATGACAGAGACATTGAATGTCATAGTCAATAACGGATCATGTGTAGGCGCTTATACACTTGATCTGATTGCGCCTCCGAAGTTAACTTCGGAGATCACTCAGTTGCCAACGCTCGAACATAAAAGATTCTTGCGTGATCTGCGTAGTGACAAAGTCAAGCAGATCTGCATACTCGTCGCTGAAGACGAGTATGTAACCGACATAAGGTCAGCAACAGTGTTTACTGAGAACGAGAGAGTTCTCAGTAGTTCATCTATGGACGAGAGTGTCCTCGATGAAAAGACACGAATTGAGCGATATGAGTCCCAATCATGGGAATCGCTCAAGGAAAATCCTCTCTATGAAGATTTGGTTGAATTCAAGAATGTATTCCCTGAAACTGTTCCGTGCGAATTACCGAAGGATAAAGGTATTCGACACGAAGTCGAGCTTAAACCAGGCTCGAAGTACTGTGTCATGAAGCGGTGGCCACTGCCTCGTGAACAAGTACTTGCGATCGACAAGTTCTTTGCCGATCGTTTAGCAGCGGGCCATGTGAGGGAATCAACTTCCCCACATAGCTCTCCGACCTTCTGTGTGCGAAAAGCAACAGGAGGGTGGCGGATAGTGCACGCGTTTAACAAATTGAACGCTGCAACGGTACCGGCTCAGACGCCGATACCGAGGAAGGACGTAATCATTGATGGTATGTCAAAGAGTACCATCTTTTCGTCCATGGATTTGATGGATGGCTTCTATCAAATCCTAATGCGGGAACGGGATATACCCTATACCGCAGTTAGCACGCCTAGCGGCATGCTCTGGGAATGGCTAGTAA